GGCGCGGAGCTCTTCCCGAGGCGGAAGGCATCCCGGGAGCGGCTGCGAATGCAGCGCAGGCTGGGAAGGGGGGGGAGCTCAGAGCGTGGACGGGATTCCCCCTTGTAACGGTACTTTTAAAAGAGGAGCTTCTTTTAAAATTGGGGGGGGACGGGGACCCCCAACCAAACAAAAACAACTCCAAAGCCTTCTTGCCAGTTGTCCTTTAGAGCATCTGACAACACTTTTGAATATAAGGCTGTTCTGGGAGCTGCAGGTACTGACAAGAATGGCTCAAAAGGAAAATTACTGCTTCATAGAAACTACTCGCAGGATACAAAATTAGGAATTTGTTTGAGGTATGAAACGATTTGTGGCACAGCTGGTATGTAAAATCATCAAACGTCTTGTCATAATCCAATATTCCCTAAATCTGGACTAGCGACATTGCTTTTGAAAGATGTCGTTCCATATAAATGCCTTTAACGCCTGGTAGAAAATTCTTATGAACATGTTGACAAATGAAATAACCCGGGTTATTTGATTAGTGTCCATGTAATCTGAATATTGGCTTGTATTGGGAAAAGAAACGTCAACACTTTAATGCTTTTGAAAGGACGGATTTTCGCCGCAATTAAAGCGTAATCTTATACCAATAAAGAAAGTGAATCACGCTCTACGTGTTCTGTGCTACTGGGATTAAAGTAGATGAAGAGAAGGGTTTGGGTTTTCTTTTAAAATGCAGCTCGGGCAGAACGAACAAAGTTACAGAGCGTAACGGGGGCTTGGCAGCTGACCCACCGCGGTGGGAAGCCCTGCACCCTGCCCCCCTCTCAGGGACGGGTTTATGGGCCGGTGGCATCTCTCAACACTTCTTCGGAAACACTTTCTGATGTGGGGTGCAGGGGTCAGGAAACCGAGATGAACAATTCCCACTGCGCTTCCTAGCGCAAGAGTTCCTATTGTTGCAGCCTTTACGCAAATAGCTACAAAAGGCGTAGGAAGGGACCGTTAGACGTTGACGCCTGCCTTACGGAGCTTGCATCGCTGTGGGATAGTGCGCTGAGGTAACCTGTGTCCCCGGGTAAGATCCGCATCTTACGGTCAGCTCAGCTGATGTTTGGTTTGGTTTTCCTTCGAGCAATACCCGAGCAAATGAGTCCGGGCGCCCGGGGCACCGGCAGTCCCGGGGCTGCGACCCCGGCCCGGCCTGCCTGCCCGCCCTTGGACAAAAACACTACCCACACACACACCCCCCCCCCCGGTTCCGGACCTGTCAGGCTTGCCCGATGTATGTGACAGCCACTGGAGGGGCTTGGATCGGAAAACCTGGTTTGGGAGAACAGGAGGCTGTGGCGGCGGGGGGCGGCTCTGCAGAGACACCCGCAAGGCCCCCGCCGTGCCCGACCCTCCTCGCAGGGGCTGGCCGAGGAGGGAAGGGGGGCTAGCAGGGCGCTAACCCCACGTTCCCCAGTATTGTTGTTGTTGTTGTTCAGCACTAACGGTGGCAGTCGCTAGCCAGCGCTAATCGCGGTGGCGTCACTGCTTTTAGCCTTAAAACATGCCCCCCTCGCTGGGACCGCATACGCTTCGGAGAAGGCAGGTCAGGCAGCCTGTTCTCTTCGCAGAGTAAGATGATTTATGGGTGATCAGAGAAGGGCAACGCACACCGTCAGAAAATCGTTATACCCGATTTTTTCTTTGTAGTGCCTTATTCTGCTTTGGAGACTCCCTTGAAGCCTGCCGCGTTATTTTACGAAAACAATCTGATATTCAGGAAGCACCGAGGGAATCTGAAGCTATTAGCACTTTCATTCCGTTTTGGAAGGCCACGGTGGCTGCGGGGGAGATCGGCTGCTTGGGGCAGGGGGTAGGGAGGGCGGCCGCGACGCCGTGCCGGGGCTGCGCCTCCCGGCGCCCGTGCCCACTGCGGACGCTAGTGGGCACCGGCGAGGCCGAAGCCCGGCGGAGCAGGAGGAAGGGGGATTCCTGCTGCCCGGCAGCCGCTTGCTCATTTTTTGTGAATGTCACGAAGGAGGATGTGGGTTTCTTGTATTTCTCCATGATCTAAGTAATCGCTGGGTCTCAACTGGCCAGTGCACAAAAACCTTTAAAGTGGTCAGCTCAAGCAGCGCATTCAACTTCTAGCTGTGCGTAGTTAAAACTGGGCGAGCGGCTGAAAACCGGTGGTCCCTCTAATCTTTGCTTGATAAGTCCCCGACGGCCGCCGCGGTTGGATGTGTCTGAACTCGGTCCAGCCACAGAAACAGGGAACTGAAATCGAGATACTTTGCCCGCCGCGCAAACTTTATTTCAGACTTGCGGGCGGCAACCTACACCGCACAAAACACGCGAAGGGCTGCTGGAGGGGCCACGGGGTCCCACGGGGAAGGAGCTCTGCGCGGCGGGGGCAGGCGCGCCGCGTCCACGCGTGTCCTCGTCGGGCGCCGAGAAAAAGGGCTCGCCGGCTGCGTGGGGGCCCCCCCGCCGCACACCTACCGCTGAGCCGGCAGGGCCCAGGACAGAGCTGCCGTGTGCTGCGGGGAAACGGCCCCCACGCCGCAGCCCGTCCAGGGCTTCCCCGCAGGGCAGCGGGCTGAGCCCCGCCCGGGGGGCCGTGCGCCCCTTCGGGTACCAGCTTTGTCGCGGGGAGGAGGTGTCGCTTTTTGCTGTTGGCACATAGAAGTGGCTCCTGGCCGGAGCGCTATCGCTCGGCTTCCCGGGTGAAGAGGCCCCCAGCGAAGCGATAGGTGTTTGGGGGGCTACTGCCCGATGGGGCTGCGTGCCAACACCCCACAGGGGATGGATTGCCTCGACCTTGACTCGCGTTCAGAAGCCTCCCCCCAAGAGAGAGAAACGTCTAGTCCCAACTCTGTCATGCAAAGTGACTCTGCTCGCATCCCTCCCGGTGGCTCTTTTCATTAATTAGAGGCTGCAAAGCGTCGGGGGGAGGGGGAAGCGGCTAGAAGCCACTAATTATTCAAACTTTGGAGACAGCATCCAGATGAGCTGGGTCAGCTCTTCAGGGCAGTGCTTTGTAACCTGTGTGTATCCGGAGGGGGAGTGATTATGCTACTGTGCAAAGCCTCCATTAAGAGATTTCGTTTCATCATTACTCACTGCCTGCAGGATGTGTGCAGACTCCAGTGTGAGTAAAATTCAGGGTTTTTACCACGGAAGAGAAACAATTTGCTGGAGCATGGGAGAGTGGCGAAAACGTGCCCTTATCCCCGCCCCCAGGCAATAATCTTTTTAATTGCACTGAATTCCTGCAACTAAGTTTTTTTCGTAAGTGCCCCCTCGCATCGCTCTCCCCACTCCCACTTTGTCACAGGTTTTTGCAATGACGCCCATCTCCTATAGCAACTTCTTTCCGCCTCGGCAGCTAACGCCCTTCAGCCCCAGTCACCTCGGGACCCCCGCCCGCTCCATACGGGCGAGAGGCAGGGCAGGACGCGCAGCGATGGCCCGGAGCGCAGCCGGGCTGCCCTCCCGCCCCTTTCCCGGCTGCCCTGTCCCGAGGGCAGCCGGCGCGGAGCCCCCTCCGTGGGGCAGCGCGCAGGGCCGGCGGGGGCGGCTGCGCTCCCTTCCCGGCTGCGGCTGCCAAGCGCCCCGCGGGCAGCCCGGGAGGGAGGGAAAGAGGGAGGGAGGGAGGGATGCCCGCCCGCCCGTGGGGGGCGGCGGGGCTGGGGCGCAGCGGTCCCTAACCTCGGTCCCCCGCTCGCAGCAGCCTTTCCCCACCTCGCTATCCCGGAACAGGAAAGTCCCGGTTCAGCTTTCCCCCATAAGATCCTGTCTTCCTCCCCCCGCTCCCCTCCCTCTGCCCCTTCCTGCCTCTGGCCCGTGCGAGAGGAGCCGCTTCTCTCCGTGCGGGACAGGGCTGAGCCGCTCGGGGCAGCTGCCGAGGCGGCGGGGCATGGGGACGGGGCTCTGGGGACCATCCGGCCGGGCTCAGCCCCCAGCCCTGAGCCAGCAGTCCGGTGCCCGACGGGCAGGGCTGCCTTGAGCCTGCAGGGTTGAGCTGGGATCCTGAAGTTAGTGATTTTTTTTTTTTCTTCTTTTTTTTTTTTTTTTTTTTGCCCTCGGGGCTTCCGAAAAGCCCGTAAGGTCTGCAGAGAGAGAGAGAGTGGGGGAGGAGGAAGAATTAAGGAAGGGAAAAGATGGCGAGTTGCAGGAGCAGCGTGGAGAAAGCAGCATTTTTGTGCTGCTGCTTGCTGGCGATGGGGAGCCTAACCTCCTGCGCCCGGCCGGAGGAGGAGGAAGAGCAAGAAGAGCAGCGCTCCTGTCACGGTGCCTTTGATCTGTACTTCGTCCTGGATAAGTAAGTGACAGCTGCATTTAAAAACGTTTATTTACCCTTCACTGCCTCCTCGCAGCAGCAGGGACGTTGTTTTCCCCGTCTCCCCGGGTGCCTTCCCCCACCTCCCCTGGTGCCAAACATGATGTGTGGGGCAGGGTCCTTATTTTTGCTCCCCAAAACTTGCACGTTTCCCTAGCGGAGCACCGTGCTTTATCCTGGGTTAGTTGCATATGTAAACCCGGGAAATCAGGTCGCCTTCAGGTTGTAGCGTGTGGTGTGTGGGCTGTGAGCGTTGGATTTGAGGGGATGTTGGTCAGTGTCCCCAGCACTCCTGGACTTTGGTGTGAAGACTCGGGCTAAGCGCTGAGATGTCACCTGTGGGATGTAGCAGCGCCAGGGCTGTGCAGACCTACCTAAAGTTAAGACTAGACTGCGTGTATGTCGTGGTTGTTTATTTACAGACTCACTGTAAGGTTTTATAAAACTTGTTTCTGCTCAACTTCTTTGGAATTGTCTAAACCTGTGTTTGAGTTACATCTACTAATTAAAATAGGTTAGCAAACACTTTAATGTTAGCCCAATTTAGGTATGGCCAGAGGGTATGGTTAAGCTCACATTTATAGGCATGTTATAGCAAGCACGAGCAAAGTGAGTGGTAAAATGGTGCACCCACTGGTGTTTTAAAGAAGTCACAAATTTCTGTTTCTCCTGGTGCAGTGCTCTGGCTTGACAGCCAAGGGTTCAACTCCAGGACTAAATTGTTAGTCTCCCACATATACTCAGTGTGATGGTTGTGTTATCTAATATATCCTGGGTTACATATGTGAGATGGTATTAAGAAAGACTGAAGCCTTTTCTTCATGATTCTTGCCCACAAGCCAAGTATGAAGTCTGCATTGTGCTGTTTCCCGGTTGGGAGAACTGTTCAGCCCATCAAGCCTTCTGCACAGCCTGCATGATGCAAAAAGCCACCATCACTGAGGAGCCAGTATATTCCCATATTTGAGAAGACAATAAAAAGTATCATTAAGTAGTGAATCTGTTTTTAGAGCAAAAGGATCTGAAAACCAAAGGCATTCTGCCTTTCTAAAAGATGCACTAACACACCATGTGGCCATTGTTTTGTTTTCTTTCACTAAGAGCTTGTTCCTGAAGTAACCTTTGTGTCTAGAAAGAGCTCTGTGGGGGGCTAGTTTTAGTTCTCAAATTAATTCTCACCAGGTTTTCAAGAAGTGACTAGTACTGTTGTTATGCTTGCTTGCCATATTGAATTTTCTGTAACAATAAATGTTGGTGACTGCAATATGGGTTCTCTCTATGACATCATATGTGTCTTCCACAGTGCAATTTCCTTGTTTACAATGGCATTGCATACCCCTAGCGATCAACACACTGCGCTTATATGCAACTTTTCATCTGTAGATCAGAAAGCGCTTTACTGGGGTGGTTGCTGTTATCACTCATGTTGTATTTGGGTAAATCAAGGCAGAGAAGAGAGTGATTTGCTCAGCGTTACTGATACGTTAAACAATAGGAAGTTGGCTGCGTAAGGAAGTTCCTCTTCAGTGTTGTGGACATGAAATCATACATTTTCTTTTAGCAGGCTACAGGTCTTGTATCTTGGCTCAGGTGCTATCCACTCAGTAGAGTGGTCTACTGGAGACCGGACCTGATTATGGTTGAAGTACAAGTCATGCACTTAGGTTCCAGTGGGAAAATTCTCTTTGGCTTCGGTTGCAAACTGAGTCTTTATAAACTTGAGAGTTATACCAAAGAGTTCCTCTTTGGTAAAAAGTTGTTGTGAATGTTTCTGGGCTCCTCATTAGAATCCATCCCTGCTCTTACCAAGTCTGTGACAACATGGTGACAAAGCTGCTTTTGGCCTCAATGATATTGCATTAGAATCCATATGGGTAATATTAGAGTGCCAGATCTTAGGAGCCATAGGTCCCATGCTGGCTGAGGGTGTATTTAGTCCCAGCTGTATTCTGTGACATCTGGCACAGCACAAGGAGCTTTATGGAGGCAGGGAGGATTGACTGAGTGGATAGACTCTGGATCTTGGGACAGTTCACCAGGAAGGTGCTAGATAGCCCATTAGTGTTGAAAAGGGTCAGGGTATTCCTGGTAGGAAGAAGGCAGGAGGCCAGTCAGAAGCAGCTGGTCAAATCTGAAAATGCAGTGGATGCATTTTTTTAGAATTGGATCCATGCTGATACATATTTGCGAAGAATTATGGCTCTAATTTATAATGGGAGAATCCCCAGAAAAGCCCAGCCCTATACACCACAGAGTATCCCCACATGGCCTGGGGATTGCCTCCCTTCATGGGCGCCTTGCCAGTCTGGAGTTAGATGCATTCAGTCTTAATTAGCTGTCTAACAATGGGATTGAAGCATTGGCTCTGTGAAAACTCCAGGCTTTCATCCTGTGACCCTGTAGCATGCTCTTTAACTGAATGACAGGCCTTGTCTCTAGAGTCAACCTGGGTGAACCAAAATGACTTTAAATCTGCTTTGCTTTGCTTCCCCATAGAAAGATGTAATCTCACATCAGTAGGAGGCAAATTGGAAGAAGACAACAAACCTTTCTCCTTATGCATGTAAGCACTGTGCATTACTGCAATGACTTTATTGGGGCGTGATTTTTTCCTTTTCATTCTGCCAGGCAAAGTCTGTGGGGATTTAATCCTGCAGGCAACAACCATCAGATGGAAAAGATCATCTGCTGGTGAAGTTATTGGTATAATATATATCCTGCCAATTAGAAAAAGAAACTCGCCGATTTCTTACCGTTTTTCTCTGCCTGAAGTTGATTGCAGCCCTTTATGTTAACTCCATGGGATAGGCAAGATCAGAGCAGTGGAACTAAGCCTTGGATGCCCAAGAAGCTGGCATGGTGAAAGGGAGAAGCAGCATGTGTGGAAGGGAGACCTGCCACCACCCTCCTTAGGACTGTCTGACCGTGCCAGAACCACATTAGGACTGCCTTTGTCCCTGGGGATGCTTAAATGAGCAAATTTCTTGAAGCTAGGAGAACTGGACATTTGCTGGCTACAGAGGCAGCTGCCTGGAGTCTGCAATCTTGTGCTGTCTGTATGTCATACTTGACAAGTTATGCAGGTTTGAGCTTATTTGGAGCTTTAAAGTATACTGAAGCAGGAGAAATTTTTCTGTTTGCAGCGAAATCACTCCCTCTGCATAAGGTAAGGCAGTAGTATACAGTGCAGCTGGCATACCCATCTCTCCTATGGCATGTGGTAAGATCAAGTCACATGTGATACCAAAGATCCCATGTTTACCTTTAAACAAGCATAGCTTTTAAGCGCAACATAATGGATAGCTGAGTAGTTGTCACTTGTTTTGGTTACTTCATTTGCTTTGGTTATCTAGGCACATGAAGGACTTGTTTCAGTCCCATCCCCAGCTGCCAAGGACAGGTCCTCGCAGGGGTTTGATTGCTTGATTGTCAGGTCTTGTAGTGACATCCTTGTGCTTGAGTATGTAAATAAATCCCTTTCATCCTTTCCTTGCTGTTAACATCCAGCTGTTGTTTGTAATCATATTGAAATCCACTTGCACAGCAGAAAGGATGACTGACCTCTAGTGTTTCTAATTATAACAGTGCCTGGTAGCATTGTTATGATTGTTTATTAGTGCAACAAATAGAAACCCTTTTAAAGTAAGGACTTATAACTGCCCTAAATATCTGCTGCTGGCGATGCTTGACATGACAGATCCAAGCTGCAGAGCTGTCTGTATTTTATAGTTACCAAATATGAAGAAATTTCTTTGATTATTTTTTGACTGTAGGACAGGATAGGAGATGGGGGTGGAGGGGAAGAATGTGAGATAGTCAAAAGTATTTTCTCATTTTTCCTGCTGGGACGTTTGCTAAGAAATTGTTTGGATTTTGAGGAAAATGGAGCTGCACAGCCTTGGGAAAATGTTTTCTTTTTCCATAGCACACACCATGGCAGTGGAGATGTCTTGAGTAAGGCCCTGGCTGTTTTTCTTTTAGAGCAGTGATTATAACTCTTTTTGGGGGGGGAGGCTGGCCTAACTACCCTTTCTGCACTCCTCATCTTCCCCCTGAACTTCTGGATAGTCCCTCTTCATGGTACTCCCATCTCTTGGTCCTACAACAATACTGTGCTCCCAAGAGCATCCATGTCAACAGCAATTTTGGTAAAGACATCAGTATACAATGTGGCCAGCATCTCATTTGTAATCCATTTTCCAGCTGCCTCTCTTTAAACTTGGTAAGCCTTGCTCCAGAGGTGAATGTTGCTGGTGGGGAAGAGCACAACCTCCAATTAGATGGGAAATTAGCTACTCTGTCCCATCTCCTTCCTGGTTTTGGTTTTTGGGTCTGTGTCCCCTTCCCCAATTTCCCCTTGAAAAGCCAGTTTTGGGGGGGGAGGGAGGTGTCGGGAGGGAAACAGGTTGATACTTCCTAATTCACTTCAGGCAAGCCGAAAAGACATCAGAACAAAAGGCATTTCAGGAGCTGCTATTCTGGGCCAGCTTTTATCATTTTAGGGCAACTGTAGTGAATTGCTGATATCCACATACCTTGTTTTTTTCACAATATGCCATATTTAAAGCAAATGCAGAGAGTCTGGTAAACACATTTTGTCATGTGTCGTCCCCCTCGGTCCCCCCTCCCCCCCCGGATGATTTCCTTGCCAATGATTTGAATGAATTTAGCACTCATGAATTACAAGTGCTAGTGAGAACAAGTATATTTGGCCTTAGGCTCTCCCTGTAGCCCTCTGCCTCTCTTCCCCCACCCATGTAGTAGCTCAAGAGTGTTAGGACGGAGCTGGACCTGTGGGAACTTCTGCAGCTTCTCTCTCCGCACTGTCTCAGTCTGATGCTGTTTGGTGGCCTGGTTTTATGCAGTGTGTGAGGAGGGGAAGAGTGTGGCTGACAACATTGTTGTGGTTGGATATAAGACTGCTGGCAAAGATAGGTGCCTGAACACATGTTCTGTCACCTAACTTAATTGCACTTGAAAAT